GATTTTCACCAAACTGGCGAGAATCACGAACAAGCAGTCGATGGCATATTAGACATCCTCGGCAAGCATCAGTTGTGGTTGAAGCCGGAAAAGTGCGAGTTTTCAAAGAAAGAAGTCGAATATTTAGGCCTAATCATCTCTAAGAACAAGGTTAAAATGGATCCTACGAAAGTAAAAGCAGTTAGAGACTGGCCTGCACCCCGAAATGTGAATGAATTGCAACGTTTCATTGGCTTTTCTAACTTCTACCGCCGGTTCATTGATCACTTCTCTAAGAAGACAAGACCACTGCACAACTTGACCCGGACAAATGTCCCTTTTGTGTGGAACACCAAATGCAACAACGCCTTCGAGTCTCTGAAAACATCTTTCACAACGGCGCCAGTCCTAAAGATTGCGGATCCCTACCGTCCATTCCTATTAGAATGTGACTGCTCCGATTTTGCATTGGGGGCAGTCTTGTCCCAGAAGTGTAAAGAAGACGGTGAACTACATCCAGTTGCATATCTGTCACACTTGTTGGTACAAGCCGAGCGCAATTACAAAATCTTTGACAAGGAACTCCTCGCCATAGTGGCTGCCTTTAAAGAATGGCGCCACTATTTAGAGGGCAACCCAAATCTACTCGAAGTCATCGTATACACAGACCACCGGAACCTGGAAAGTTTCATGACAACAAAGCAGTTGACACGTCGACAGGCTCGTTCGGCAGAAACTATGGGATGCTTTGACTTCGTGATAAAGTTCAGGCCGGGCCGTAAAGCTGCAAAACCAGACGCGCTGTCATGACGACCTGATCTAAAGCCGCACAAAGACGAGAAGCTAACGTTTGGTCAACTCCTAAGACCTGAGAACATAGATCATGACTCATTCCCAGCGGAACTGGCCAGCATAGAAACATTTTTTGCAGATGAGAGCATTGAACTAGAGGATGCAGAGAAGTGGTTCAAGGTAGACGTTTTGGGAGTTAGCAACGAGAATGAGGAGGAGAAAAATCATGAGGAGACGCTTACCGACGACAAGATAATCAACTTGATAAGACAAGCTAACGGTAACGACCTGAGAATGTCTGAACTCATGAACATCATCCAAAACCCAATATAATTAAACATCAAGAAAGCAGTCAAGAAGTACAAGATCAAGGACGGTATAGTATACAGTTCAGGACGCATAGAAGTCCCCGAGGACAACAAGATCAAATTAGAGATTGTACGAAGTCGCCACGATACACTACTAGCGGGTCATGCAGGAAGATCAAAGACTCTGAGCCTAGTACGTCGAAGTTTTGTGTGGCCGTCGCAAAGAGCTTACGTCAACAGACATGTTGATGGATGTGACTCTTGTGTACAAGTCAAATCAAGCACAGAACAGCCCTTTGGTACATTAGAGCCACTCCCAGTCCCAGCGGACCCTTGGTTGGACATCAGCTACAATCTCATAACCAAGCTTCCGAAGTCAAATGAGTGTGATAGCATACTAACGGTTGTTGATTGACTTACTAAGATGGCCCACTTTTTACCATGTAAGGAAAGTATGAGCGCGGAGGAACTTGCTGACTTGATGATCACGAACGTATGGAAGCTTCATGGCACCCCAAAGACAATAGTGTTGGATAGGGGTAGCATATTTGTGTCACAGATCACCAAGGAAATCGACAAACAACTCGGCATTTGATTACACCCTTCCACGGTGTATCACCCTAGGACAGACGGTCAATCCAAGATTGTGAACAAGGCCATCAAGCAATATTTACGCCACTTTGTCTCATACCGCCAAAACGACTGGGCAACCTTATTACCTACAGCCAAATTTTTGTACAACAATAAAGACCATGAAACTATAGGTGTCTGACCCTTTGAAGCGAATTACGGGTTCAATCCAAATTTCAACGTGTTCCCGTCTGCCAAACAATGCGTACCGGCAGTGGAGGGAAGATTGAAAACACTGTGCGAAGTTCAAAAAGAACTGACTGAATGTTTAAAATTGACACAGGAGGCAATGAAGCATAACTTCGACAGGACGGTACAAGACACACCAAACTGGAACGTCAGGGATCAAGTATGGCTGAACTCACGAAACATTACAACTACAAGACCCACACCAAAACTGGACTATCAATGGCTAGGTCCCTTTAGTATCAAAGAAAAGATTTCCACTTCAACGTATAAGCTGAACCTGCCTTTGTCTATGAAGGGAATACATCCTGTATTCCATGTGTCAGTATTACAAAAGCACCAGATTGACACGATCAGCGACAGAAGACAGAAAGAACCATCACCAATCCAAATACAAGACTTGAACAAATGGGAAGTCTCAAGCATCTTAGTCTGCCGCACACAACACAACAAGAAGGAATACCTTGTGAGTTGGAAGGGGTACAGCGCCGAGCATAACTTGTGGGAGCCAGTAGCGAACCTCAAGAATTGTCAAGAACTAGTGAAGGAATTCAACAATCTATTTCCACATGCGTCAAAAAGGTACAGAAAAAGGAGAAGAATGTCAGAGGGTAAGCTTTTTCCCAATGGGTGTTTTAATGCTACCCGCGGAGGAATGCAGAACTTGCAAGAGGAAGTTTGGGCATTAAAGGGGGGATAATGTTATGAATGCTTACACATGGAACTTGTGTAAGAGAAACTTGACAGTTGGCGCACATGTCACAGGATTAGGGATCATCTAGACTCATACACACCCTTGTATCAGAGATTTTCTCTTCATCTGACAATCTCAATAAGACCCTGGCAGCACCTTTACTCCTGTGCCCAAGAACCCTGAGATCCCACCTTAACAATGAATTCCAGTTAAAAAAACAAAGGCTTTACTACATTGAGAAAGCTTTTAATGAGTCTGAATACACATAATGATCTTGTAAAAGATTTAATGATTTAACACTAGGAAATAAAAATCCAAACTTCAATTTTTAATTTGTATCACTTGATCCTAAAAGTCCTCCAATGATTGGTCTTTTGATGTTGATTTTCTTAAATATTGACCTCTACATAGCTATATGAATCTAGACATCTTTCATTTTCATCTGAATGGTTTGGAGTCAAGTTCAAGATGGTTGATTGACCCATTTCAATTGAAGACATCAATTGGTGTCGAACGTTCTTGAGTTGATTCATGCAACTGTAAGGCTTGGAATTCATCGTGTGTGAGTGGTGAAAAGGAGATATTGGTTGTTGACTTTGGTGTTGGAGGTCTGGTTGAGTTTTGTTTTTGGAGTTGAGTTGCCTGAACAAGTCGTGATGTGTGATACCGCATGTGTTAGCCAATTGGTAAATTTACCAATTTGCTAACGCAAAATGACCAAAAATTAACTACCGCGGGGCTAATTTTTCACCGGTGTGGAAAAGACCCCGTGTCTGCGGTAAATTTAACCTTACTGCACCCGACTTAGAGCATCCGCACTCGTTTGCGGTTGTTAACTTGGTCAAGTGCGGTAACAAACACCACATTGAGTAAAAAGTTACTTGACTCAAGCAAATTTCGCACTCATTTGCATTAGCCGCGCTGTAAATTTTATAACTTTACAGATAACGCATGTGCTCCACACCGGTCATGCAGTAAGGTAAGGTTTTGATTTTTTGAGTACAAATCACCTGCTTTCATCGCAAGTTTTCATATGATAAAGCACCGTCCTCTTCTTTGCACTGGAGGACCTTAAATTCTTTCAAACTCTCCGTCTACACATGAGGATCCAATATCATCTTCTTCATCTACTTGATCAATAGATCTTGATTTAAAAAGACAAAGTCAACATGACTTTGACTTTGTTCAGCTACTCAATACATGAATTCCAGTTAAAAAACAAAGGCTTTACTACGTTGAGAAAGCTTTTAATGAGTGTGAATACACATAATGATTTTGTAAAAGAGTTGGAGCTTTAAAACTAGGAAATAACAATGAACAATCTTGTAAACAGATCTAAACTTTTTTCAATTTTTGATTTGTATCACTTGATCTTAAAAGTCCTCCAATGATTAGTCTTTTAATGTTAATTTTCTCATATATTGACCTCTACATAGCTATATGAATCTTGATATTCTTCATTTTCATCCGAATGGTTTGAAGTCGAGTTGAAGATATTTGATTGACCTATTTTAATTGAAAAAGGACAGAAAAATTAACAATGGAAAAGACATTGATCAGTGTTGAACATTCTTGAGTTGATTCATGTGACTGACTTTGTAGGGTGTGAGAGGTGAAAAGGAGGTGATGGTTGTTGACTTGGGTGTTGGAGGTCGGGTTGAGTTTTGTCTTTGGAGTTGAATTGCCGTGAATGAGTCGTGATGTGTGATACCGCATGCGACGCAAAACGATCAAAAATTAAGTACCGCAGGGCTAATTTTCCACCAGTGTGGAAAATACCCTGCGGTTGCGGTAAATTTAACCTTACCGCACCCGAGTTACCGCACGAGTGCAGATGCCATTACCACACAAGTGCGGATGCCATTACCGCACAAGTGCGGATGCTCTTAGGTTAGCCCTTGACTCGACTACTGGTCAAAGGATACAGGGTTCCGCAGTGAGGGCAGACCAGCAAACTTAACCAACGTCCTCTCGTTTTCCCGCTGTACAGGCCAGCCCAAACGAGGGACTTACTCGTAATGTCTGGAATTTGGCGTGAGATCTGTCGGGGTTTTTTGCAAAAAACTATGACTCTCACTGCTCAACAAACATCACAATGATCTTGTTTTGAGCTCATAATAAACATCACGCGCTGCTTCGCAGCGCCTCACCTTCCGCTCTCCGTTTTTGAATATCTCAAAAGAGGCAAAAGTTATCTCGAAAAAGCCAATTTGGGTCAACCCCGGGGCTACAGACAACTGCGGCGTCCAAATCTTGCAAATCAGGGGCAAAACCCATTATATACTGGCAAAACTACCAATACGCAACAGACAAACTGTTGTTTGGATTAGAACTATGAGTGGTATCACCACCGACCAAGTCCTCGATGTCCACCAGGCCCTTGCAGAAGGCCCACATACGCATATACAACCATGTTACGAAGGAGTCAAAGCACTGCCGGTGCTTCCATGCTAGCGCAGGCTCGTGAGACTCGCAGACAAAGGTCCCTCACCACACGCCCCAAACTTCAACATCATTTCGTCAACACTAGCGAGGCCAAACAGGCTGAAGAGGCCGGCAAGCAGTTTGAGCAGATGCACGGTTACCCTGCGAGAACGGAGCAAATCCAGTCCGTGGTGGATTTACTCAATGAATGCACAACATTCTTATTGGCCGGAACCGGATTTGGGAAGAGTTGTGTCCCTGGAATGTTCTATCACGTGCACGATCCCACTTCGTCACCCATCATCCTCTGCATCAACCCGTTGGACACACTTGGAGATGATCAGGTTAGTAGTGTCACTCACGGCACTTTCGCTTACTGAGGTTGTGAACGGTGACTGATCAAATGGGTCTCTGAACGATCAGGTGGCTGAGAAAGCCTTAGTTGGACTGGGAGCCATCAATTTGACCGGACCAAACTGTACGCAAGAGGCATGTGAGGCCATTTTGCAGGGCAAACACCCCTTTGTCTACATGGTAAACTGTCTCCTTATGTTTCTCCTGATGATTCACCAACGGAAAGGCAACCTTCAGACTCTGATCATTGATTGCACACACGCGGGTTTTGTTTGTTTGCAGAGTCCCGAGGTTGCAGGCGAAGTGCCTTGTCGCTGAAGAAGCCAAAGTTCTCGCCCTCCAGGCCAAAGCCCACGCTCAATCGGCCGTGGCCGCTAAGCGAGCAAGTGCCAAAGAAGCCTTGGCAGGACTTAGGAACAACACTGAGACAGCTAATCTATCCGTAGCTGATAGCGCAAGATAGCGTAGCTAGAAACATGCCGCAAAGCTACAGCTAGCAGGAATCAGCATGAATGAATCCCAGCTAACCTACGCAGAGTCCCAGAAAATCTCCAGCTAACCAAATTTTGGCCCTGTAGCGTAGCGTCAAGGCACAAAACTCAGCTACAGTAGCTTGTAGCGTAGCGTAACTTGACAAGTTACACTATCATAAAGGTCAGATCTGTGTTAACTGCATACAGTTACGCTACATACAAAATGCATGGTAGCGTGTTGTAGCGTAGCTGTCTCAGCGTTGTTAGGAAGCCACCTCTCAAACGTGCCAAACCCAAAGACACAATCGACCCACCGGGGAGCCCAGCACCATCTGGATCTCAAACCAAAGTGAACAGAGACCTACCGCGGAGCACAACACCATCTGGATCTCCAGTCGAACAGATAAGTCTCATGCTACCCCCCGGTAACAAACGTAACGCGGAAGAACGCAGTGACTGCCAAGAATCGCAAAGGCGCAAAATAATCTAGGTAAGATTTTATGCTTTGCATTGCGCTTAGTGTATACCCTTCCGGTCATGTAGACCGGTGCTGATGATTTGGCATTCCTACTCCTCACCAGGGTCCTCTTGATTCTCCCACGACGAGAGTACATTTGACGCGCCCCAGCGGAAGCGTGATGACTGATTCGCCATCTTGTCAGCATTGATCAACTTTGACATGTGGCACCGACCGTCGCGCCATACATTGGGAACCTCCGCGGTGGCGGTGGAGGACGGATTTGTGTTGGCAAGATGTGCTTCAGCATAACTCATGAATGCATTCATGGAGGCGTCACTGATTGGATTCATATTTGGCTGATAAATAATCTTTTGTCCGGAGAGAGCTTTTAAGAGCTGCATCAATTTGCGTAGCTTTTTTTTTAAATGTCAGTGTGGTGCTAAGCTTTTGCAATTTATTTTTTGGCTTTTTGAATCAAACATACCAATGGGATGTTATTTGAGAACCGATGTGTCAGCCGTTGGATATCCGTTCCGTGACCCTGTGATGAGAAAGGTGAATTGGCAATCCAATGAGGTTTTGGCTATCGCTCAATAGATTGCACCCGAGCATGACAAAATTCACTCACTGTGTTATTGTACATGTGTTTCAACCAGAATATGTGCACCTCAAGGTATTCATCGATAGCCATCCAGTGACCCTCACGCTCGTTGGATGGGATCAACAGTGAGTGTTTGATCGCATGGGCCAGACTCTTAGGTAAGTCCACTTCCAATAGCATCACAATCCTGGGAATGTGTCAAGCATAATGAGATAGGCCTGTCAGCCCTTGCGCCATCACTGACCACCGCTTCCACATCGCAATTAGGCGGCCTATGTCACCCTGTTGAGTGGCGTCATGAGATTCCACAACAGTGGCAAAATCTCGCAATCGCATGATGAGATTGTATCAAGTATGATCTCCGTTGGTCCTCGCGGAAGCAAGTGCCGAACGGTCAAAGTATTGGTTCCAAACGGAGTCGAATAGCGTCTCAATGCCTGCTTCGGTGGTAAGATCAACATCTTCCAAGCCCTCGATCACTTTTCTGGAATAGGTTTTGGCAATATGCCTAAGTTAAGTATTGGGTGATGTTATAAGATATGGCATTGTTATATAACTCACTTCATGATGAATGACAGCGTCGCTTTATGCACAATCTGAATCAAACGCATGATGCTGTTGAAATCTTGCGATTCAACCGGCTTTTTGTACTCTAAGTCCAACGCGAAAGAAGATCGCCACACCCCTGAATCTTCTCTATTTTCTGTATTACCCCAATGATGACCCCATATCGCTTTGGCAAAGTTCCATGTGATATGGACTCCGCCGAATATGGAACTCACCCAATCAATTCCCTCTAGCGCTTTCACCGGCGGGAATCGCTTCACCCGGAGGCTCTCAAGGAGTTGGTTCGACCCGACATCTCCACCGGCAATGAGAACCCTCTTGGCATACTTCTCCTTGTCCATGCCAATTTGGCCCATTACCGCGTCAAGGACTCGTGAAACGCCATCGGCCGAGGAGTCCGGCGCATCCATCATGCGCAGTAAATGGATATTGGGCTGATGCATTTCGATTTGATTGATGGGTGGCGGTTTGGTTTTGAGGCATGGCAGTTTGGCACTGCTCAATCCTGCAGGTAAGATATGAGTTGCACTTTCTTGGAGAGCTTTGGCGAGTTGGGATTTGATCACTAATTGCCAATGTTCCATATCCGTTGGCGTAGGAGCAAACAAACCGATATCAACAGGTTGTCAATCAGCCGTTGCCATCGATTCGAGAAACATAGCGATGCCCGCGGCCTCCTCAGTAACATAGCGATGCCCGCGGCCTCCTCAGTGCAACTCGCTTGCAGACATGACCGGATGACATTGTAAAAACCCCAAGTGCCATGAAATAACCGAGAGGATGTGTTGATACGAGTGTTATGGATGCGGAGGTGTATGTCAATATTGTCAAAACATAAGAGCGGCATGATCGTGTGGTTCACTTTGAACAGATCCATCATGTGTTCCTCTTGTAACGCGCGCAGGTGCTCCATTGCTTGCAGAATACTAGTACGAGAGGTGGTCAAACCCAAAGAGTGGAGCCAATCATTGACACAACATGATACACCAGCGGCCAGAGTCATGAGTCCATTGGCGAGCGGAATGGAATTGTGGCGCCGATTGCAAGCAACGGCAATCATGGAACATATCATCGTTGGAAGCTACCACTGGTACGGTCGCCATGAGGCACACAAGGTTAGACATCAATACATCGCCCTCAATATAGGATAACTCACTTTTTCGAGCTTGTGCGCGGCTACGTCTGCCGGTGTGGATTGCACAAATACCAGGTTTTCTAGCGACAGAATCGTGGCCTCATCGGGAAGACCATCGATGGAGACTTCGTCTGTTGGAGCGGTCTGATCTGGGGTCACAGTGCCCTGGCCGTCCTTGTCGTCGTCATCATCTGGGGCCGATTTCTTTGTTTTCAAAGCCAGAGAGAGTTTGCTATGGATCAGGCTGTGAAGGAATTTCATCCCGGTTTTGACTTGGTGCGCTCGCAGGCCTTCTGACCCCTCGCTGAAGGAGTCCGCCGGAATTTGGTTTGAGCTAGTATATGACCCCGCTGGGAAATACCCTTGCTGCATGTCCTGATCGTTCACTATTGCTGACGCCTTGCATGCCCAAAAAAATGGTTTGATATTTGGGTTTAGGTTAGGTGTTTGCAGCGCAAAACTCTCAATCAAAGAACGCCTCACCTGCTCCAAGATGATGGCTTCCCAACTGTCCTTACCTGATGCACAAGAGGTTGTCAGTTTAGCAAAGTGTTTCACTATGGACCGAGTTCCCTTGGTACCCAAACCGGCCTTCATTACGCGGCGCCGGTTAACAAGCTCTTTATCGGTGGAGGACAAGAAAGTGAGCATAAACTCTTTTGGAGAAAATCCCGCACTGGTCATCAAATCACAAATTTTCAATGTGGTTATGACCATCTTTGGGGTGTGTACGCTGGGTGCAGTCGAGCTTGGTGGAGTCATTGTAGTCATTGGAGCTGACGGCATGAGATGATAATAAAATGAAATGTATGTTATGCAAATGTCAAGTTGGAAGATACATTCTTATGTTACGATGACAAACTTGTGCTGTTAACGTCAGCACATTTGTATCAACCTCATTGCGACCCTACACCAGAGGTTTCAACCTTATGGTTCAATCCCAGTGTCATGATGGGGAATCATGTCACACACAATAACGTAGGCTATGAGGTGCCCACGCTTCTTTGAGTTTCATCCTAACAAATCCATCCTAGGATATATTCGAGTCGATTTTTTTTATGAGTTTCATCCAGACAAAGGAATCCCGTTAACTCCTGGGATTTATTTGTTAGCATGAAACTCACACAAGCAGCATGCTAAGCATCATGTTTTCCGCTAGTGAGACAGTAGCACTTCCGGACGCACGCATGGGCAGTGGGTCTAGTCATCTCTTGAATCACGCCTGCCTAGCCTTAAAGGGCTATCTTCGGCTGGTCCTCGCGGTTGATTAGGCATCATATCTATCTACCCCTCATCGAACAACATGGACCCTCCTCTTGTGGTACCAGCGCAATCGGAATGTGCACTATCAGGTCCACCTGACCTCGATGCAACAGTCACTGCCACCTCGCAATCTGAGTTTTTCTATGATAGCGAAGTCGGGCCAACCAAAACCGCTCTAGGGACATCGCCTTCGGAATATGTGTCTGATTCCCAGCCGGAATCACACCCTGTGGAATCGGAATCGCCAGAATCTGATGCTTCAGATTACATTTCAGATGTTGTCATTCCGGCGAGTGAACTGGAGCGTGAGGATCACATTGCCAACATCACCGACGCAATTATTGCTGAGGGAATGTCACTCCGGGAATTTATAATGGCGGTGAGGCCATCGGCCTCCACCCTTTTCAGCCATAGCCCTCAACTGTGGCAAAGCATGGTCGTCCATAGGACACTGAACATCATCGACTTCATTCACTACAAGAAATATAATATTTTCTGGGCAGAAAATTAAATTATTGATACACAAAAATATTGAGAGGCCAGGCAAAGGGCAAAAAATAAATAAAAATATGCATCTTGTTCCCTGCGTTGAGAACTTCACTCTCCATATTTTTCCGTATTTTTACAGTCCATATGATAA